TATATATATATATATATATATATATATATATATATATATATATATATATATATGTATGTATGTATATATATAATCTATTTTAATCCCAGTTTTTCTGATTAAATAGTTTTTCTCTTTTTTAATGCCTCTGCTTTAATTTCATGTCTGATTTTTTTTAAAAAAAACCTTAAATGTGTTTTATTCTGATCAAATCAGTAAATATCTATTGCCTTGTCCTGTTATTAACACTATCTCATGCAAATCTTTTAAAGAGGATCATTCTTCAAGGACACACAGACTCTTTCATAGTGCTACTGTTGCTTAAAATAAAGAACCTTCACAAAGATTTGTACAGCAGGAGTTTAATTGTGTTTGTGTTTAGGGCTACATTGTGCCTTTGAGTGGCATGTCAAAGGCCACATTCCCAAAAGTGCCTGGTCAAAGAAATTAATAAGACTAGGATAAAAACTAGACTGTGTTTAATTTAATTGATTAAACAGAGCTAAAATGATTTAGTGGTACATATTCAACAATTCTTCTATTCCATTAAAAAAAAATTCTGCAAGGAGTATTGGGGATACTGCTATTCATTTGTTTGTTTAATTTTAAGGCTGCCCAGCTCAAGAATAACTGAGCGACTTAGTATTAAAAATAGAAAAACAAAAAAGAGAAAAACTGAAGTGATACCAAACTTAATTTAACATACACACCCAACCCTTGCCACACACACATTGACAGAACTCCAGATTTACCTCTCACATGAAAAATAGCTAACTTTTTAAACATTTACATATCATTAGGGTCTGCATATACCTTGGGAGAAGGATCCAGAAGAAAGGCACTGCTACAGAGAAGGCATATTTCCTGAGGGCCACTAGAAGCAAATGCTCGATTTAAAGCACATTGATGTATTTATTTTTACCATATGCAGCATAAACCATGGGTGATAGTACATCCCTCAAATAACTGACACTATGCCTTTAGAGTATGTAACTGGCACACTGAATTGCCTCCAGAACTAATTTGGGGTTTGGAGGTGCAATTTTAATCCTCTATTTCAGTGGTTCCCAAACTTGGCAACTTTAAGACTTGTGGACTTCAACTCCCAGAATTCTCCAGCCGGCTCATTTTCAAAAGGCTGATAAACATCAATGGAATTCATATCAAACTAATAAAGGCTAACAAAAGATTTAATTACACAGGATTCTGATCTTCAATTTCTTCATCATCCCTAATCCTGCAACTGAATTTACAGCCAAGAAACACTGAGACATAGTTGCACAAAATCAACAACATTCTGTTACTTTGGACAATATATTTAATAACTTTCTCCAGGGGTTATTTTTTATAAAAACACCTTGTTGTTTATATATCAGGTGATTGATAACATTATTTCATTTGCCTAAAACATATTTACATTTTCTTGAGGGAAGGAAAAAGGGATGTGGTGTTATATAAATGTTTTTCCTGGAATGTGTTGTAGATGACTGCATAGCATATAAATGAAGAAACCCCAGGTGGTTAGGACTATGGAAGACCCTTTTCCTTTCCAATGCAAGTTGCACATTTCACAGAAAAGCTAATTAAAATGTTTAGGATGGTGGTTATTAATCATGTAGCAGAGTATCTATTAATTCAGAAGTTCAGAAAACCATAAATTTCACTGTATCTCTCATATAAAAAGGACAGAAGATGAGGAAAGGGCCAAAATGGTTATGGGGCTACAAACAAGCAAAGCCGAAGCATTTAATTTATTCCTTTTTTCTCCTATTTCACTTCAACATTGAAATGTCTTTTTTGGCCCACTTTTCTAATTTCTATATATATATATAATCAGTATATTAATATTCCCAACAGATTTATGTTTCATATCTATTATGAGCTACAAACATTTTAGCTGTTATACCCCTAGGTACTATAGAGATTTCATTCTTTGTTACTTCTTTTTGTATCTGTCAAGCAAACATTATCTTTCATAAATTAAACTGTTGGCTGTTGACACATTAATATTAATAGAAACACTTCTACTAACACTTAAATCCAGAACAAGTTGTGATTTTAAGAGTGGCCCTCAGTCACTTACTCCGGATCCTGGAAGATGAATAAAAATATAAAGAGGCCTTACCAAAAAGGTCTCTATCAATAGAATAATTGTAACTTTTACAAATAAAAATAATTACTAGAAATTTAACTGTAAGGAGTTCAGGATTCTAAATATTGGCTTACTTATCCAGGATCTATCCCACTATTATATTGCAGCCAGTAAAATTTTCTATGGAAATAATTGTGAATGATCACTGTAATAGTAGAATGATTGAGTCAAAAGAGCATCAAAGTATTTCTGATCTGCAAAAATTGTGCTATGATGAAAGCAACATTCTTAAGATCATTTAACAAGCCAATTTGGTATAGTTGTTAAGAAATCAGCCTGGAGATCACGAGTTCTAATCACATATGAAACCAGCTGGGGGACCTAGTACACTCTTTCTCAATTTAGGAAGAAAACAATGGCAAACCACTTCTGAAAATCTTGCCAAGAAAACTACTGGGATTTACCCAGGGAGCTGTAGGATCAACACTGACTTCAAGGAACATATACACACAAAATGCTTTAAGGTTCTTATATTCTTTAATTAATTCTAAGTGAGAAGATAATAATCATGTTAGCATATGCCTAAATAATTATTTCATCCATTATAGAAATTTCTGTCTAACTTATTTTGAAACTAAACAGCATTGTCTTGCTTGGAATAAATTACAAACAGAAGATAAAATTAATCTATTTTAAATGTACAATTTTTAGTAATCTGTTTATTTTTTTAAAAAAATAAAACTAAAAATCATGTATATCACTTAAGACTCACAAGATACTTAATCGGGCCACAAATTTTATGTGTGTATGTATTGCTGTGTCCATATATTAGGGGATCATGTTATATGAGCTAATTGTTTATGCACCACAAATATTCCTTTGGATTGATCCACAGAGTTGCTCATTTTAAGGCCTAATAAAGTCCTTTGGATGCTGAAGTGTTTGGATTTCACTTTGGCATTGTTTAAACTCAAGTACCACATTTGAAATCTCAGGATTTCTTGTAGACTCAAAAATTCTTGAGAAGAAAATTATTAAATGCGCTCCAAGTAATCATATTAGCTATACTGTGTATAGTAACTTTAATAAAATTCAAAACTTAAAGAAGTGAAATTTAGATTTTCCCCATGCTGTGTCCAGTTTTTTGTCCTCCCCCATCTATTTCCTTAATGAGGTCTCCAGAAAACCATTTCCCATCAATATGTTTATGAAAGGTAACTTGAACTATCAATATTCCTCTTTGTGAGAATACACTTTTATTTGTATCTACATATAAAAAGGAGGCAGGATTTTGATTGTCCAAAATGAAACCAAACATCTTGAGATCTTGAAATATTTTTTGGGGGGTGGCATTTATCTATGTGGTCATTAAAAATAATAAACTCTCAGAACTCTTTATGAGTGTATAATGCATATTTTAGGTTCTATAGCATAACTTATCCTGAGGTGAAAGGAATATTCCTGAGGTCATCCAGCTGGTACTTACATAAGAAACCAAAATAATATTAAAACAACTATATTTAATATCTATTACCTCACACTTGTTTAACAGCCCACATTCTTGCAACCTTGACCAAATGCTTTGTATTCTTCCAGCATGCTCAGGGTGGCTGGTATAATTGCCACACAAACACTGGTGCTTCAGCATTAGTGTGTCATATGCAACACCTGCAAAACAAACATAATGGGACCAACTTACCAATAATTTTACTCTGGAAAGTAAAGTACAATAACTAGGATGCTCATTGAAAGAGAATTGGATGTGTGGTTGGGATGATCAGAAGATGCCAAACTGCACAAAAGCTGTTTTGTAGAGATGGGATTGTCTTTTTATGGATAAGTGTACTTTCCCCCCTTACAATGTATATTCTACATTTACGTTGTGGTGCTGACATTTAGGTTCATACAGTATATAGGCAAAGAAAATGAATGACATGACAGGTAGCTTTATTTAGGGATTGGAATCGGCAATGAGTTATGTGAAGTGGCACTAAGTGAAACCACAAGTGAATTTATAATCTGACTTTCCTTTGATTAACAGATCTGTGAAGTTTGTAAATGTGAGGACCGGTCACAGTTACTTTTTCATCACTGCCATAACTCTGAATGGTCACTAAGTGAAGTAGTAACTAAACAAGGACTTCAGAATAACTTAATCCTTGACTCAACAGAATAAATCATACCCCAGGGGTTTGTAACACGTGGGAAATATAAGTTTCATCTGGCAAAATAGAAATGCTTTGTTAATGATACTATTTTGGCTGGACCAATAAGCTTTTTTTCAGTGCCAGCTTCTCCTTTTTCATTGAGCAGTTTAAATATTTGGAGCCACAGCAGGTGGCGGTACTTTGACTGATCTTGAAAAATATCTAAATATGGTCAGATCCCATTAGTGCTTGAATAGAGACCTAGAAATTCCAGAGCTGGAGACCTAACTGGCAAATAGCAATAACACGGCAAACTGTTTCTTTGTTGTTGCAAAGAAAATTGCATGAAACTTGTCTTTAGGTAGTCTTTAAAACATTTCCAAATATTTCATTTTCAACAATAATCCAAAGCTGGCTTCAATTCTATGGGGGCTGTGTGAACAATACCCTTTGGTTGTTTCTCTTTTATGACAGAGTATCCACCTGGACTTTCTTGAAATACCAAGGCTTGAAACACCATTTATTTATCCTGATGTCTCAGAGAAACATTAACTTGGCACCATTCTTGGACTGGTAGTAAATGTACATGGTAGCTGCAAGACACCTGGTCCTCATTAGAAGTGCAGTAATCTGGTGAGGTACTTTGCCAAATCCTTGGATTATGGTAACTGCCCAAAGTTAGCACCAGGTACCATGTTTTAATCAAAGCCTTGCCCATTTTTAAAAACACTTCCCTCTTTTCTTTAAATATGCTAATAGATTTATTAATTTTCTCAGACTTAAAACAAATTATCAAACCATTATATTTGTTCATGTTACTCTGAGTGCAACTTCAACTGAGTCCAAGAGAAGTTCCATGGTCTTATTCCAAAATGAAGTTTGCATAGGCTTGCAACTTTTGAATGAGTGAATGAATAATTCAAAAGTCAAGATCTGTCAGAAACATTCCATGCAAACTTTTAAGTAGTAAAATGTTCTCACATTCCAAACTGTATGTCTGTTGAAGACCATTCCTTAGTCTAAAATGAAATCTGAATGTCCTTTTTTCATACACTTCAAACATCTAAATTGATTTAGGATGTGCAAATAATTCACTTTTGCAGCTGTGGGTCACACAGCACGTGTGCTACCGTACCACAACACAGCAACAGAGCTTCCTACTAAAAATAGAATGTAGGATTCCCTAACACAATCCAGCCAATACTACACACACACCCCAGGAAGAAAAAAAGCAGTGAGGGAATAGACAACTGTTTTCAATTGCTTGCTGCTATGGAATGTTAGTGGAAGATAATGATTCTGGTTGGAATGCTGTCTCTTTTCAAGCCAATGGCAAAATTCCCCTCTGAAATCAGAAAGGCCAAGATTGTAACTGGCTCATTCTGAGGGGGAAATCGATCTCATTTTGATCTAATTGTTGTGATGCAAATTGTAAGTACGACTCTATGTAGGTTAGTGTCAAAATTAGTTTCTGAGTTGAAAGACCCATTTATTTTACTATATATTTTCATTATCCTTAAGAATTATGGTTGATGGCAATTTTTATTTATGTTTATTTATAATATAGATACATTGTAGAGCTGAAATACCACATTTCTTCCTTCTCCTGGATTTTCAATTGCCATTTAAAGAGATTATGGGCAGAAAATGGTCAGGTTATAGTCTGTAACATAACCCTAACTCTAATATTATGCATCCTGTCAGTTAAACAAATAGAATTATTGTCTATATCATGCAATATACAACACAAATATTTCAATTTAAATAAATCCAATTTAAACTTACGATTCAATTTAATTTGTATTTCTACTTCATTTCAGAATTTTTTTGCAAATTCTGTCTTCTCAATATATTTGAATAAACATTTTTTGTACCTGCACAGAAACTCAATCTTCCAAAACAATTTAGTAGTTTTGGATACAATCTAGTGGTTCAATCAGCTTATTCGTTTATTTTGGAAATGAGGTTCTATGACTCTGATCTGAATTTGAATTTCTGCATTACAGCTAATATTTATTGACTGTCTTAAAAGCCATGGGACTGTTTACATTTCCTGATATAAAGCTGAAGAGAACTATAATCCTCAAAGAAAATGTCAACACTTGCAACCAAAAGACTTCATTCTGTGCTCAGCAAATAGAGTATCTTTATATGCAATGCAACAAATATGCCAATCAGTGGTAGGATTCAATTTTTTTTTACTACCAAGTCTATGGGTGTGTCTTTGTGGACCTGGCATGGCTTGGTGGGTGTGGCCAGGAAACGATACTGTAAAATCTCCATTTCCTCCCCACTCCAGGGGAAGGTTACTGCAAAATCCTCATTGCCGCGCAATCAGTTGGGATTCGGGAGGCAGAGAATAGATAGACCGGGGTTCTACATTCTCCGACATTCTCTAAACCACTCAAAATGTCCAGTATCGGTTTTCCAGAACTGGTCAGAATAACACCTCTGGTGTCAATAATTCCTTGCTAAATGGAAACATAACGTTTCAGAAACTGATTACATAATTTTGAATATGTTTACTATATTGGAAAATAACACTTTTGGCATACATTGTGACATTCCTAAAGGCAGATCTCAGAAATATATATTGTACTCATGCTTTTTGTAAGGTTTTCATATCAACATGGTAATGGTCTCAACAGGGGGAGGAATGGGAAAAAAGACAAAATATAACATGGGCTAGACAGAAATAAAAGTACAAAAGGCTGGAGGACATCCAAAATACACCTGTTATTGTCTGTTGGAACCTTTCAACAATATTAATTTATGAATGTGTGAATATTATCCATTATCAGCTGCACTAATACATAGGATTGAGGGTCAAAAAGAATGAGTAAAAAAGGCATTCTTGGTATTTAAATCAGTTGATCCTACATGAACTGTACATTTAATCTGCCTATTATGGGAATCTTTAGGGACTCTTACCCGTCATGGAGGTTTGTTGAATAGTCTGATCCACAGTTGGGTGAGGTAATACACAAGTTGTCAGGGAAATCTGTGTCCTGGCACTAGGCTGATTATCATCTACATGCACCATCTGAGCCTGGCACCCTTGCAATTTCTGTAAATGCTGTTGCTCTAGGGTCTGTGGTTTTCAAGAGAGAAACATGGTAAAAAATATGACAAGAGATCACAATGAATACTAGAAGAAATGGATCAAGAAATTAAATTTATTAGTTCAGTGTTTAAGTAAACAAACCTGAAGTCCAACTTTAAGACCTACTCCATAAAACAATCCAAGAAAAATGCTCATACCTGCCCACACCAGCTACTGAATATCTCTTATAACCTCTGGTATAGGTTTTGAATCCCTATGTGATTAAAAAAATATCCAAAAGGAATAAGATGCTAAGACAGATGGTAGAATTTTTAAAAGAAAAGTATCTGAAAACCAGAGCATCTATACATCTTTAAGAAAGCCATTAGGGTGGACAAAAACTAAGAAATGTTATTTATTTTATCCTTTAAACAGATTAAAAGCAAACCATGACATCAATTTAGCTATACAACATATCTATATGGGTGTTATGTATGTGTACATTTTTGAGAGCAGTATTTCATTTTTGCCCACAAAAATCAACAAAACTCCTGGATAAAACTCACTACAAAGTGTGTTCTGTATTCTAACATGCAATGCAATTCTTTTCAGCTGTAGGGGAAGGAAGGAAGGAAGGAAGGAAGGAAGGAAGGAAGGAAAGAAGGAAGAAATGGGGGAAGGAAGGGTCTAAATGGATAAACTCCTTTCCTTGTGTGTGAATATAATTTATACATTAACTATAGTTACTTCTTGCAGATATTCTGAGGAAGCTGCCAACTGGTCAAAGGTAGACTTTACACTTCTGGCCCACTACACCAAGATTTAATTTTAATAATAACTAACTGATGGAGATTGGATGGATCAACTATTCTGAGTTAAAAGGTTTTACAAGAAAAAATAGTTTCCTAGAAGAAAAAAAAAAGCAAGATTAATTGAGTAAAATGGTCTGCTAATTGTTGTGACTATGTCATTAATAAAATATGGGAATTCTACATAACCAGATATTTTGGCATTACTTCAGACAACTTCCATACGATCAGAGTCTTTAAACAATAGACAGATGAAAATGAAACATATTTAGAACTAGGAGAGCCATGTGATTAGAAGCACATGGTACAAACTATTCCTCAATTTATCCAGTCAGAGCTGCCTGGAAGAAAATATAGTTTTCCATATATACTAATCAGCAAGTGTATAGGAAGTCATCCTTCAAACACTTCTATCCATTTTTATAGCAAATGGCCAATGAGAATGACAGCCAGAAATATATTGTGTAATAAAATTAGAAAACGTGGATAACTTCTGCTTACCATATCTTACAATCCTTGAATCATATTAGTGGAACAAACATCTGAAAACAGTACAAACCTATGTATAACAGAATCATATTAAATAGTGGAGTAGAACTAACAGAGAATGTGCAGCTCTATAGCCTTTAGATTTTGTAGATATAATTGATATATTAGAAATATATTCTGTAGATCTAATTCCAATATTTTGGAAATATATTCATTTTAGTACAGATATGATAGGCAAAGTTTTTGTAGGCAGCAATTATTCACTTTTTCACATTTTATCATCCAGTATGTCCTGGCTGTTACTCTCATTGGCCTTTTGCTATAAAAATGGAAGTTTTTGAAGAATAATTGGAAACAACTACTAACTGAATTGTAGCAAAACACATTTTTGTTTTATAAGTCAATTATCTTGATAGTTCAAGTGAAATGGTTTTATCATTGGGGGTCATACTCTGGAAGCAACTTTCAGATTCCACTTCTCATTTCAGTCTCCTGTATCTAAAGACCTATCATGCTACTCAGCAACTATTATGTACCAATGTTTGCTCTGCAAAGATTACAGTGGTCTAAAAAAATGTGTTGTAGAAAATGATGCACATCTGCATCTAAAACAGGATTATGCATGAGAAGAAGACATGTCAAAAAAAACCATCCAACAATCTCAAGATGGCAGATGCAACTATGAGATAAAAGCCCTGCTTCTTTTTTATTATATAAGACTGGTGTAATAAAGAACTGAGTTTCCATCACCTTGGAATCATCTTTGATCCTTATTAGACTTGCCAACATCTTTAGTTTGCTAAAGCCTGCAGCTATTTTTAAGCAGAAACACGGGTTAATCAACAATAAAATACTTTGCAAAAGTAGGAACCAAATTGAAGGTAATCCCGAAGGACTTTAAAAATATCTTGATAATAAGGCAAGCTATTAAATCAAATTTGAAACTCAGCTAAAGTGAGCTTGGATCCTAGGGAGATTAATGCACTTCCCATTTCAGAAGTGGTATCGCTGGAAGAGGTCTTGATGCATTTAATGTAAGATCTCTCATTGCCAGAGTCACTTAATTTGGGGTTGAGCAAGGGGAAGCGGGAACGGGATATCTGTACTTGCTGACATAGTTAGAAATAGACAATCAGAATAGAGAAAATAAAATTAGGGCTGTGTTAGAACATACTATATAAAAGGCTGCTCAGGAAAGGTGCAGTTTCCAGCTTTAAGTGTGTCCAAGTGACTTTTAGACCAAGAGAACCGGAATACATTGCAACTGGAACCAATGGAATGAAGCGATTGTACAGAAAAGTCCTGATAAAAGTTAATGGATATTCTGGCTTTAATAAGGCCTGGGGGCGGGAGGGAAGTGAAGATTCAGATGTGGGAGATAAATGCAATCCTAAAGGAATAGTTAACTTTAAAAGTAAAATTAACATTCTTTATAGAGAAATTTTCTTAACTTTCCTTTGAAGTAGAAACTGAATTTGTCCCTGAAATGTTATTATTCAATGAATGTGAAATATAAATAACAATCATGCAGCTGAGAATCAAGTCCAACACAAGGCAACAGCATCATATCATTTCCATTCTGACTATATTACTTATGTAACAATTGAGCCATGTGTAAGTGTGGTGAATTGTCATTGGGTTTCACAGCATTTGTGTGATTTCCTAGTGGAATGTGACATTTATGTGTGAAATTGACTTAGCATTTGTCTGCACTGTCAGATTGCCTCATGACCATAGCAACCAATTTTGGATTATCAGAACAGGTAATTTTGTATACTTCTCTGTAAGCCACATCCACCATAAAAAACAACTTTTAGTATATTTCCCTTTACACTCAAAATATATTTTCATGCTACTGTTACCTTAAAAGCACTGTTTTCTAATTTGCCCTATAGCACTTTATTTTCTTTCTTTTTTTAAAAAAAAGCCCAAGGGATCTTATTTCATCATTTCTCTCAATATTGAGGAAAACAAAATGTACTGCTTTTTACCCCAAGCAAGTGGAGATTAAAACTATTTACTAGAAGATAAACTCGAAAATTGAGATGAGAGATAAGAAGCCATACTACTGGGAGAGGGTGCAGCTAGGTGATCTTGGACCAGTCCCTCTCTAGAAACAGGCAATGGCAAACCACTTCAAAAATATTCCAGGGACTAATCCAGGCAGTTTCTAAAAGTCAACAGTGGCTCAATGGCACAAAACAAACAAACAAACAAAGTGTACAAAAGGTTGTGTGGGTGGGTTCCTGCTAGTTCTAACTTCTTCTATAGAAGAGATTTCACAAATCTACAGTGCCGTTTAGAACTGGTTCCAGCTCCCACCCCCCACCCCCAGCCATCTGCACATCATCAAGATGAAGAGCAAGAGGAGGAATTCTGGGAGTTGAAGTCCACAAGTCTTAAAGCTGTAGAGTTTGAACACCCCTGGGCTTTTTTTTCCTAAAGGGTTAGGGG